TTTTTTTTTTTTTTTATATGGGACGCTGCCACAGCATGGCCTGACAAGTGGTGCATCGGTGCACACCCGGGATCCAAACCTAGGCCACCAGCAGCAGAGCCCCTCCAGGTTTGACTTTTTTAGATTCCACATATGAGTGATATTATATAGTACTTATATTTCTCTGTCTGACTTATCTCACTTAGCATAATGTGTTTAAGGTCCATCCATGTTATTGCAAATCCCAAGATATCTTCATTTTTCGTGGCTGCATAATATTCTATTCTGTATACGTACCAAATCTTTTTTATCCATTCAACTGTTGATTGGCATTTGGGTTGTTTCCGTATCTTGGCTATTGTGAATAATGCTGCGATAAACATGGGTGTGCATATATCTCATCGAAATCCTGTTTTCATTTCCTTCGGGTATTTAGTTAGAAGTGGAATTGCTAGATCGTGTGGTATTTTTAATTTTTTGAGGACTCTCCATATTGTTTTCCAGGTGATTGGACTAATTTACATTCCGCCAACAGTGTACGAGGGTTCCCTTTTCACCACATCCTCTCCAGCACTTGTCTCTTGTCTTCTTGATGATGGCCATTCTGACAGGTGTGAGGTGATATCTTGTGGTTTTTATTTGCATGTCCCTGATGATTAGTGATGTTGAGCATCTTTTCATGTGCCTGTTGGCCATTTTGATGTCCTCTTTGAATAAACGTCCATTTAGTTCTTCTGCCCATTGTTTAATCCAGTTATTTGGTTTTTTGGTCATTGTTGTTATTAAGTTGTGTTAGTTCTTTATATATTTTGGATATTAACCCCTCATCCAATACATGCTTGGCAAACATTTTCTCCCATTCTGTAGACTGCCGTTTCATTTTGTTAATTGTTTCTTTTGCTGTGCAAAAGCTTTTGAGTGTGATGTAGTCCCATTTGTTGATTTTTTTTTTTTTTTTTTGCTTGAGGAAGATTAGCCCAGAGCTTACATCTGTGCCAGTCTTCCTCTACTTTATATGTGGGTCGCCACCACAGTGTGGCTGATGAGTGGAATAGGTCCACGCCTGGGATCCAAATCCACAAACCCAGGCTGCTGAAGTGGAACTTGCCAAACCCAACCACTATGCCACAGGGCCGGCCCCAGTGCCGCCCACCCTCATTTGTTGATTTTTGCTTTTGTTGTTTGTGCTTTTGGTGTCATGTCCAAAAAATCATTGCCAAGGCCAATATCAATAAGCTTCTTCCTTATGTTTTCTTCTAGGAGTTTTATGGTATCATTTCCTGTGTTTAAGTCTTTGGTCCATTTCAAGTTAATTTTTGTAAGTCATGTGAGATGGAGTCCAATTTCATTGTTCTGTGTGTATTTTTCCAGTTTTCCCACTATTATTTGTTGAAGAGACTGTCCTTCTCCCACTGGGTGTTCTTGGCTCCCTTGTTGAATATTAGTTGACTGTATTTGTCAGGATTTAATTCTAGGCTCTCTATTCTGTTCCATTGGTCAATGTTTCTATTGTTGGTGCCAGTACCTTACTGTTTTTATTACTATGGCTTTGTAGTATAGTTTGTAATCAGGAAGTGTGCTATCTTCAGCTTTGTTCTTTATTCTCAGAATTGCTTTGGCTATTCGAGGTCTTTTGTGATTCCACACAAATTTCAGGAGTGTTTCTTCTATTTCTGTGAAGAATCCCCACCATTTTGATGGGGATTGCATTGAATCTGTAAATGGCTTTGGGTAGTATGGCCATTTTAACAGTATTTATTCTTCCAATCCATGAGCATGTGCTGTCTTTCCATTTGTTTGTGTCTTCTGTGATTTCTTTCAGCAGTCTTGTAGTTTTGATTGCACAGATATTTCACTTCCTTGGTTAAATTTATTCCTAAGTATTTTATTGTTTTTGATGCTACTATGATTGGGATAGTTTTCTTTATTTCTTTTTCCAATGCTTCATCATTAGTGTAAAGGAATGTCACTGATTTCTGTAAGTTGATTTTGTAACCTGCCACCTTACTGAAATCATTGATTCATTCCAACAGTTTTTTGATTGACTCTTTGGGATTTTCTATATATACGATCATATTGTCAGCAAATAGAGACAATTTTACTTCTTCCTTCCCTATTTGGATGACTTCTATTTCTTTGGCTTGCCTAATTGCTCTGGGTAGGACTTCCAGTACTATCTTGAATAGGAGTAGTGAGAGTGAGCAGTCCTGTCTTGTTCCTGATCTCAGAGGAAGCTCTTTCAATTTTTCTCCATTGAGTATAATGTTAGCTCTCGGTTTGTCATATGTGGCCTTTATTATGTTGAGGTATGTTTCTTCTATACCCAATCTATTAAAGGTTTTTATCATGAAAGGATGCTATATTTTGTCAAATGCTTTTTCTGCATCTATTGAGATGATCATGTGATTTTTATCTTTCATTTTATTGATGTGATGAATTACAATTATTGATTTACATCTGATGAAACATCTTTGTATCCCAGGGATAAATCCTACTTGGTCATGGTGTACAATCCTTTTAATGTGATCTTGAATTTGGTTTGCTAATATTTTGCTGAGAATATTTGCATTTATATTCATCAGGAGTATTGGTCTATGATTTTCTTTTCTTGTGATATCCTTATCTGGTTTTGATATCAAGGTAATGCTGGATTTGTAGAATGAGTTTGGAAGTGTTCCCTCTTCCTCAATATTTTGGAAGAGTTTGAGGAGGATTGGTGTTAATTCTTCTTCAAATGTTTGATAGAATTCACCAGTGAAGCTGTCTGGCCCTAGAGTTTTCTGTATTGGGGGTTTTTTGATGACTGACTCAATCTTTTGATTCATTATTGGCCTGTTTAGATTTTTTATTTCTTCCTGATTCAGTCTTGGTAAGCTACGTGTTTCTAGAAATGTACCCATTTCTTCTAGGTTATGTAATTTGTTGGTATATCATTGTTCACAGTAGTCTCTTATAATTGTCTATATTTCTCTAGTATCAGTTGTGACATTTCCTCTTTCGTTTCTAATTTTATTTAAGTCTTCTCTTTTTTTCTTAGTCTAGCTAAAGGTTTGTCAATTTTGTTTATCTTTTCAAAGAATCAGCTTTTAGTTTTGTTGATCCTTTCTATTTTTTCTGGTCTCTATTTCATTTATT